CTTCCCTCCCTCCCCTTTCCTTTTTCCTCCCTCCCTTTTCCTTCCTTCCTTCTTCTCTCTCCTTCCTTCCCTCCCTCCCCTTTCCTTTTTCCTCCCTCCCTTTTCTTTCCTTCTTTCTTCTCTCTCCCTTCCCTATTTCTTTCCTCCCTCCCTTTTCCTTCCTTCCTTCTTCTCTCTCCTTCCTTCCCTCCCTCCCCTTTCCTTTTTCCTCCCTCCCTTTTCTTTCCTTCTTTCTATCTCTCTCCCTTTTCTCCCTCCCCTTCCCTATTTCTTTCCTCCCTCCCTTTTCCTTCCTTCCTTCTTCTCTCTCCTTCCTTCCCTCCCTCCCCTTTCCTTTTTCCTCCCTCCCTTTTCTTTCCTTCTTTCTATCTCTCTCCCTTTTCTCCCTCCCCTTCCCTATTTCTTTCCTCCCTCCCCTCTCCTTCCTTCCTTCTTCTCTCTCCTTCCTTCCCTCCCTCCCCTTTCCTTTTTCCTCCCTCCCTTTTCTTTCCTTCTTTCTATCTCTCTCCCTTTTCTCCCTCCCCTTCCCTATTTCTTTCCTCCCTCCCTTTTCCTTCCTTCCTTCTTCTCTCTCCTTCCTTCCCTCCCTCCCCTTTCCTTTTTCCTCCCTCCCTTTTCTTTCCTTCTTTCTATCTCTCTCCCTTTTCTCCCTCCCCTTCCCTATTTCTTTCCTCCCTCCCTTTTCCTTCCTTCCTTCCTTCTTCTCTCTCCTTCCTTCCCTCCCTCCCCCCTTTCCTTTTTCCTCCCTCCCTTTTCCTTCTTTCTTTCTTCTCTCCCTCCTTCCTTCCTCCCCTCCCTTCTCCCCTCCTCCTCTTCTTTTCCTTTCCTCTCCCCCTTTCCCCTGCTCTTCCTTTCTTCCCTCCCCAACCTCCCCATTTCCAAAGCGGTCCCTAGCCTTATCTTTGTGCTCCTCTCCCCCAAATGAACTGGAAGCTCGAAGAGGCATCCAAAAGTCTTAGCAGCTTCTCTGTCTCGGATTATTTTCTCTCTCTGCTTTCCTTTCGCGCTCTGTGTAAATTTATGCAAAGGCCTTGCAAAAAAGAAAAAAGAAAAATCACACTCAACCTCGAAAACTGCTGCAAGAACGTGTGATGGAAATGACATTAAAAAATAAGATAGGGGGAGGGGTGGGTGGGTGGGCTGAGCATCTCTGGCTGACAAAGTCGCCCCCGCCGAGACTTTGCCAAGGCTCTGCTTATGATCTTACAACCAGGCAGGATTGGGGACTTGGCACCCAGCCAGGCCCTGTTCAACCCGGCGATCCCGGCTTTGTTGCGAGCCCTCCGTTCCCAACTGACAGCTGTCCAGACCTCGGCTGAAGATTTGCAGCCGGAGAATGGCTGCCTGGCTCTCTAGTTAATTGCTTTCATTGTCCTGGCCTTCTCCGCCTAATGCTTCTCATAGCGTCCGGCTGAACTCTCTCGGCCTGCCCAAATGGCCCCCACCCCTATTTAGCTGGCCCTTCGGAGGAGGAGGAGGACGGGAACGGCGTAAGTTCTCCGTGTCATGGAAACGTAGGTGCAGCTGGTCCTCGACTTGCAACAGAGACTGTCCACAACCGTTCACCCGTGACTAAGTCCATTTTTCACAGTTATGACCATTGCATTGCAGCTGTTCAGGCCTGCAGCCCTCTTTTATTTCAGGTTTTTGGCCTGCCACGGTTTCTATTATTCTACTATGCGTTGTCTATGGTGGGAAAATGGGAGCGGGGGATTGTGCAGGAGTTAGATGCTATGTAGCCATAACAATATTCTTTCTAGAAAGCCAAGGTCATCCTTTGTCTCTGCACCTCTGCACCTGACTGGAATTGGATGGGTGGAACTGCCAGCATGGCAGGGGAACACTGGACAATGGGATGGACTGGTGGGTGTGGGGGGCAAGATCTTGAACTTTCAACTGGGAGGGGCAAACCGGGAAGCTTTCAGATTCGGGTTTTCCCAGATGTGCCAAGATGGCTCTCTTCATCAACTGGAACTTTGAGCAATACTTTGCCTTGGACTCTGATTTACTTTTGGATGCTATTTGGAACCCTGACAGCAGCATCCTCACGGTTACATGATCAAAAAATTTGGCAGCTGACTCATATTTATGACGATTGCAGTGTCCCAGGATCCCCTGATCCCCTTTTGCAATGTTCTGGCAAGCAAACCCATTGGGGAAGCCCGATTCACTGTGCATCCGTGTGACTAAGTGCAGCGATTCGCTTAACAACTGTGCGGTTGTAAAATGGTGCAAAATTCAACAAAGAACTATCTTCGCTTAGCAACAGAAATCTGGAGGGCTCGATTGTGGTCGTAAGTCGAGGACTACCTGCATTTGCACAAATCCCAGGAATGAATTGCCTTGGGGACAAAAGGCGTAGAGCCAATTGAGGTCCGTGGGGTCCCGCTTCACCAACCTCAAGGTATCAAAAGGAAAACCAGTCACACTTTTTCTTTTTCCTATTTGCAGGACTCCAGACATGACCTCCCTTGCTCTGTATGTTTGTGTGTGTGTGTGTGTGTGTGTGTGCGTGTGTGTGTTTGTGTTTGTTTGTTCTTGTGTATATGTGTGGCAGCAGCCAAAAAAGCTAACACAATCCTTGCTTGCATAACCAGAGGCATAGTCTCAAAATCGTGTGAAATATGAGTACCGCTTTGTAAATCCTTTAGTAAGGCCACACCTGGAATACCTGCATCCAGTTTTGTTCACCACAATACAAAAACAGATGTTGAGACTTTGGAAACAGTGCAGAGAAGAGCAACCAAGAGGATTAAAGGCCTGGGGGCTAAAACATCGGAAGAACGGCTGCAGGATTTTGAATTTGACGGACTCTAGAACGCAGAAGAAATAAGGGAGACGTGATAGAAGTCTTCCAAATATCTAAATGTCGACTGGCAACTACACGGAGGAGAGCCTTTTCAGTAGCAGCTCCGACCCTTTGGAACGATCTCCCCATGGAGATTCGTACCCTCACCACCGTCCAGACCTTCCGCACAGCCCTTAAGACCTGGCTATCCCGTCAGGCCTGGGGATAAGATCACAATCTGTCCCCACCCGAATGATGAATGAATGGTGTGTACTATTTTATACTCATGTAATGTTTATGTTCATCGTTTTTGTGCCCCCCCCCCCTATACTTGTAAGCCACCCTGAGTCCCCTCAGGGAAAAGGGCGGCCTATAAATATTAATAAAATTCTAAATTATAAATTCTAAATTCTAATGGGCGACCACAGAGAATGGGGAGCCAACCTTATTCTCCAAAGCACCTGAAGGCAGGACAAGAAGCAATGGGTGGAAACTAACCAAGGAGAGAAGCAACTTAGAACTAAGGAGAAATTTCCTGACAGTGAGAACATTTAATCAGCGGAACTGAAGTTGCCTCCAGAAGTTGTGAATGCCCCAACGCTGGAAGTCTTTAAGAAGATGTTGGAAAGCCATTTGTCTGAAAACGGTATAGGGTTTCCATCACTGGAGGTTTTTAAGAAGAGACTGGACAGTTACTTGTTTGAAATGGTATAGGATCTCCCGCTTGAGCAGGGGGCCTGGACTAGAGGACCTCCGAGGTCCCTTCCAGCTCTATTCTGATTGATTGATCACCATGCACCACGTCAAGAGCAAAAGGAACCCCCGGGGGACTCTAACTCATTGACGTCTTTGGCTGCTAACATTTGTCTTCACTCCCAGCAACCTCTGTATTTCATCAGCCTCCCGTCAGGTCACATCACCCTGGCTAAGTAAACGTTACTCCTCAGATTTATTCCCCTCGATGCTCCTCCGCGGAGAAGCTCGGGTTATTGCAATCGTTCCACTCACCCCCTGGTCTCGGCGCTTGATTGCCTGCAATCTGTCACTGCCTCTCGTCCAACATAGGAAACTCAAGGTATTAAAAGGCGAGAAAGCCCCAAGGGGGAGATTTGCTGCTCTCCGTTTGCTCTGGGCCTCTTACTTGTAAGTAAGCAAGCGAGTTTTCCAACAAGATTGGAAAACTCACTTGCTCGCTTATAATGTAATTATTACATTAGCATTGGAATTGTTTAAAAGTACGAGAAGGCAAAAATTGAATCGTAAACTACAAAAGCAGAATAGATGTGCCCATACGGGAAGCTGTGTAAAATTCTATTATATGGTTATGTTGTTTGTGTTTTTATCTGTTTTGTATTTGTTTTTGCATTTGTTTTCTTGGTTATTTTACCTTTTCTTTCCTTTGTTCTTTCTTTTTTTACTTGTGGTTTTTAAAATTGAAAATGTTGAATAAAAACTTTAAAAAAAAAACCTCACTTGCTCCCTAGCCATAAAGTGACCTCTTCTGCAGACAGGGCCTGGCTGGAGGTCCAAGGGGGGGAGGTGGGTGGGTTGAAATATGGCTCCAACGAGTAGGGAAGAGGTAAGGGAAGGAAGAAGGGGACGGAGAGGAGGAAGGAAGGAAGTAGAGAAGGAAGGGAGGGAGAANTATAAATACTAATAAACAAACAAACAAACAAACAAATTGCTGGGAGGCAGATATTTTTCCCTTGTTTTCTTCCCCAAAATCTAGGTGCGTCTTATACTTTGGAGCATCTTATACTCTGAAAAATATGGTAAGTTTTTGCCTCTAGAAAAATTCTAAAACAACATTGCAGAGCTGGTGAGGTTTTTTGAAGTGATACAATCTCCTTGCAAGAGAGATTATTTCCTTTACATTACAGACACAAAAGAGATATGAAAGTACAGATCGTGCTGGACCAGGGGGTGTCAAATTCGCATCGTCACATGATGTATCGTGACTCCCCCCACTTTGCTAAACCGGACATGGGCATGGCCAGCACATGACTCATCTGGCCTATGGACCACGAGTTTGACAGCCCTGTGCTGGACTTAAGAACCCAATCAGGACAAGAATTTCCATTGCTAAGAAAGGCATTTGTTAAGTGAGTTGTGCCCAATGTTAGGATTGTTTTTGCCATGGTTGCTAAGCAAATTACTGCAATTAAGTAAATCACATAATTGTTAAACAAATCCAGCTTCCCCCATTGATTCCGATTGTCGAAAATCAACTTGGAAGGTTGCAAATAATGATCCCTGAGATACTGCAACCATCATAATAAATAAATGCAGATTGCCGAGCCCCTGAATTTTGATTACATGGGAAGGCTGTGATGGTCATAAGTGCAAGAACTAGTTGTAAATGACTTTTTTTCAGTGCTATTGTAACTTTGAATACCCACTAAATGAACAGTTGCAAGTTGTGGACTACCGTAAAATCAGAGATTCAAAAATTCACAGCATGGATTTCCGGAAAATTAATACAAGATAAATATAGGAGATTTGTATGTTTACTGCTATCTTTCTCCTTTTTTACTTGCCTAGCATCCCTGTCAGTTGCTGTTTTAAAAAAATTGTAATACACAACTCTCTCCTGCCTGCCAGGATCAAACTGAGGTGATACAATGAGAGCCATCACACTTTGCATGCAGCGGTGGGCTTCACATTTTGTTACCACCGGTTCACCTATGCGCCCGACCTTGAGGACTACTTGTACACAGATGGAATCTCTATGCATATCTTGGATCTTATTTTTCATTTTTATTTTTAATGCCCTAATATTAAACTATGCCAATCCAGATTCCATAATAGGGACAGCTTTGCACCCATCACGTTCATTCATAAAAACAATTCTCAATCTACACAAAACGCATGACTACCCACAAGGCTTATTCATGTACCTGTGCTTCTCTAAATATATATGGGCCTAGTTCTTTCCTGTGTTCAATGATTTTTTGGGCTTGATCGTGAGGTATGTCGATCTGAAGAGCAGGTGGAATGGCAGAATTGATAAAGCAGTTGATAATGGTTGTGATCTTATCCTGGATAATGGACTCATCACAGTGAGAATGGCACAGATCCTGAAAATGAAGAAACAAAACATTCAGAGTATATATGTAATTACATACTCAACATGTAAATCAGTTCTCCTCAACCTGATGAGTTCCAGATGTGTTAGGATTGCAAACTATCATAATTCCCTATCTCTATGGCCAACAGCTGGAAGGAAATTCTGGGAACTGCCATCTCAACATATCTGGAAAGCACCAGGTCAAAGAAAGCTGATGCAAATTATTTAGATAGTTAGCTTGATTTATGTCTAAAATAGAATTCCCTAGACGCTCTTCAGGTTCTATTTCTCAGGCCAACTCATGTTACAAAAATTTCCCAGGGAACCATGTAGAAGCAGAGCTTCAGTATGTGAAAATCTTCTTTGGTCATCACCACCTACCTCAGTTTGGCAAGAACCTAAAGAGCTTCTCAGAAAAAGATCTCAGTAAGTAGGCAAATTCAAAGTTTCTTAAGGAATCAGATAAAAGCTCATTTTAGAAGGGAAAATCTCACTCCTTTTGGACTGGCTCTGCAACAATAATTGTTAAGGACAGAGAGAAAAATCTAACTCTCAGAAGACCTTTTAGGATGCCAATGGCCAATAGATGACCTTTAAGATGTTGTATGAATTATAACTCTCATCCTAAGAAAGATGATCAGCAATGAGGATGATGGCAATGTGTACTTCAGTAACATCCAATGAGGGGTTTTTTTGGTCTACTTATTTCATATTATTTAGCCATACTGTACCATTAACTACGTATATATTTTGATTCTATGCCAAACATGTTCTTGTGTTGAATGATAACAAATATTGCAAACTATGTGTGATAAATATGTGAATTTGCCACCACTCCAGTACACGACTAATGAACTGTTTGAATGTTACACTTAATAGTATCAAGACATCTCTAAGATGATGAATTCATACTAGTTTCTTCCAACACACATTCTTTATCTACCTATTTTGGGGTTCTGCTGCATGGTAGTTACATCGGTGTACTTTTCTCTCATCCTTGAAAACATAGTGACATAAATTTCACTGTCTCTTTGGCTTCCTATTATTTGGCCTTAGCAGTGACTCTCGGCAATCATACAGTTTAATTTAGGGAAATTTCAGGGCACCAGTTGATGGATTCCCAGCTATTCTTTGCCCTCCCACCCCATATCACCTACGATTAGGAAGACCAGTCCCCAGTTACCTCATTGAAAATTGGGTGGAATTGGGGGTTCAATCCTTAATCATTACACATTTAGCCAGCTGTTTACACCCGATTTGGCTCATCAAGTCCTTCCCAAGGACCTGGGATAGGCAGATGCTGTCTTTTGATGGTATTAAAGGTATTGTCTCAGGATGTAAGCTGCTCCAAGTAAAACAGCCTTTTGCAATTGACTGATGGTGATTTTGTCAATGCCGATGGTGTTCAAGTGGTGCTCCAGTTGTTTTGGGTTTGCCCCCAAGACACCTATTACTGTTGGCACGACCTTTCTTTTCTTTTGCCACAATCGTTCTACTTCTATTTATAGGTCATTGCATTTTATTTTTCTATCCAGCTCTTTCTCTTCTAGTCTGGTGTCTCCAGATGCTACCATGTCCACTATCCAGACTTATTTGTCTTTGTTATCATCTGTTTTAGGCAAGTGGAATTTCTTGCAGACGCCCCATTGTACCATAGCTGCTACTTTGCTACGCTGCTACTTATTGTCAGACTATATGATATATATTTTTTGCAGCCGTTAATCAGGTGATCTATTGTTTCTTCAGCTTCACTGCAAATGAGGCATTTGTTATCTGTTGTCTTCTCAATTAGATATTATTATTGTTATTATTATATTATTAATTATTATTAATGATGATGATTATTTTATCCTTACTTTTTTATTATTTACTATGTAGTTCTTCTGACAAGACTATTGATCCTCCTAGTTTAGACCCAATCTTGCTATAAACTTTTGAACCAGGATGATTTTGAACTGGTGACTCTTGAGGAAGTGAGCAGGTTTCTTGGTGATATTAGTTTGGCAATCTAGCATATGTAGTGGGCTGGATCCCTCCCAGTTGGATCCAAGCCATGGTGTTCACCCCTTTGAGGGAAGGAGTGATTTGTTCCTCCACTGGTAAAGGAGGCAATGGTGTGCCATTTCCTCAAACAGCCATCTTTCAGCACAACCATTTTAGATATGTTTTTTCCTACTACCAAAGTTCTGGACCTAAAGATGGTCAGACAGCAGCTGATGAAAATCCTGGAGAAAACTGATCATCTAGAACCATTTCTGCCAGATTTCAGGTTGGGATTCAGCAGCTATGGCCACAAGGGCCTTTTTGCACAAGTTCAGTTGGTATGCCACTGGTGTCTTTCCTAGATTGAGAGGTCCTTCATTCACTCATGCTGTACTCACTGCAGAGCTCAAGTACTACCTTGAAGATCACTAAAGCTGTGCATGTTATAGGGACGGTTACTTGATGGATTGATTGTCTCCAGTGGTGTCTGATTGACCACTTTGGACCAATAGAGGGAGCACACGCAATTAAACAGTGTCAGCTTTTAGGACTGGAAACGTATCTTCTCTGACATGGCCCAGGCCCTCTAGAATAAAGTTCCCCTTTGAAATGGGGGGTTGCCTGAGGGCATTCCAAAGGACCTTAAAGACTTAGGTCTCCTCCCAGGCTTTGGGCTAGGGTGAATGGACCCCCTGAAGGGCATATAGCATCTATTTTAGATGTTGACCAGATTCACCATCTGTTTGCAGTTTTAGGTAAATTGTTATTTTTATATTAACTTGCATGATGAACCACAAGAGTCAATCTGAATTCAGGTGGCACCTGTACTGAATGAATGAATGAATGAATGAATGAATGAATGAGGAAAGGAGGGAGGGAGAATCACACTTTCTAACTTTTAAGTGTTTCAGACAGAGAATAAAAACTCTGCAAATACAGATAATTGGAACTGTTGTCATACTGCATCAGGCATTGGGTATATCGGGGGTAGTCAACGTTTTTATACCTACCGCCCACTTTTGTATCTCTGTTAGTAGTAAAATTTTCTAACTGCCCACTGGTTCCACAGTAATGGTGATTTATAAAGTAGGGAAGTCAATTAAATTTTAAAAAGGAAAGTGCTTCAATATCGGACAAAACCCGTACCGCCCACCATGAAAGCAGGAACGCCCACTAGTGGGCG